TTTTTTTTTTTTTTGTTGAAACTTGAAAGAGTCTTATGGAACTGAAAAGTAGCTGTGGGTTTATTTTCAACAAGGGACTTCTCAACAGTGGGACATTTTCTCAAGTAGTTTTTGCGTGCAATTCAAAACGTTTTCACACCCTTCTGATTTCTAACTTGCCTCTGCAATTATATACCAACTTTGGTGCCATGAAATTGCTTTTCCCGAGCTCTGTTTGGCCGGTAGGATTAGGAATCATCCAGGGAGCTTTGTTTTTGCAAGTTAATTTCCACAGCCACTATCAAAATAATGTCACAATAACTAATTTACCTCTCTCATATTCACATTAACATTGTCTAATTACTAAACTCACAACTAAGGGTGTCAAATTATGACATGATCCGTTACTACGATACAAAATTAGAATGTTTGACTTTTTTTTTCAACTACCTGTTTTTTAAATGAGTGGATTAGACCAGACACAATTAATAAATGAATCAGATATAGTAAAAACTTTCTAATTTTATGATACGAATTCGATAAAATACGAATTAATAAACAAATCGAGTATGAGTGAAATATTTTTTGATAAGAGCTTACTAAAACCCTTCACGATAGCCACAACCGAAGTTGTGATGTCGTCCCAGTTAGTAATGTTAAATTGTAACATTTATTAGATTGCAAGAAAGATAGGGAAATTGCACTTCACAAAAGACTGCATAAATTGGATTTTCCCATTATTTTCAAACTTTAATAGTGTGTTTGGTTTGATGAAAAATTGAGTGGATCAAAAATGGGAGGAGAAAAACGGGATGAAAAGAAAGACTTTCTATTGTTTGATTATAAAAGAAAATAGGAGAGAAAGTGTTTCCCTCCAATGCATTATTTTTTTTTCCTCTCAAAAATGGAAAAAAAGTGAGGAAAATTGAAAACCAACTGTTTTTTTAACAAATTAACCTTTTTTCGCTCTTAAATATATTTCTAAATATTATGCCATAATTTAAAATAAAAACCTGTACATTTCTCAAGAAATATTTATAAGAGTATTTTCAGCTTTTTATTTTTTTTTGTATGCAAATTTAAATTTGAGTAAAAACATTCTAAAATATTTCTCTAATACTAGAGTCATACTCATATCGAATGAAGGTAAACTATTTTTTAAACTCAAATAAAGGGAAACCCAAATTTATACTAAATTCTTTAACGGTGAGATTTTATAATTCTTTAAAGATTCAATGGTCATCTTTTACCTTCTTTTAAATTTGAATTTGTTTTCAATTAAATTTGAGTTTTTTCATTGGACATATTAATATCAAATCAAATTTTTCACTCAAATTTAAGTAAAAGTTTGAATTTCCATCAGAGATAGTCAAAATATCCTATTACATACATTTTTCCTATGTATGTTTTTGTACTATTATTTTTAGTATAGATATTTTTATAACAAATTACAACGACCATGAATCTTTAAAAAATTATTTGTAATTAAAAAATAGTTTTATATGTAAGGGTATAATAATAAATTAAGTACATTTATTTATTTTTCTTTTTTTCTTAAATACCAAACAAAAAAAAATTAATTCCTTGAACTTTTCATCCGTCTCCTAAACACAGAGAGGGAAAATTTTTTCTTCTCTCCAAAGATAAAAAGCCTATTCTTCACATTTTTTCATCATTCTGATTTTCTCTCTCTCTCCTGTCAAACAGAGCACAAGGGAGGCAGTTTTCCCTCTCGTTCTCCCAAATCCGTTGTTGCCCTTAAACAAAAAGTGCCGGAGGAATTCTAAATTTAACCAGAAGTAAAATTTGGAATGAATGTCGAAACCCAAATAAAACAAAAGAAAAGGAGAAATTTTTGAGTGAGTTTTAAGTTAAAACACTGCTGAGACGGCAAAAGTGGTGGGTTAAACCCAAACAAAACAAACACATTCAATACCCATCACCTGGAAAAAAAAAGTACATTAAATACAGACACCCAGAGAAGGAAGTATAAGTCCTAGCTTTCCAAACATATTCTGAGGCATGGCCTTCACCATATACATAAATCAGAAGATAACTTTTCATTTGCTGCACCACATTGAGTAACCCACCATTGAAAAACTTAAAATCCCCAAAAAAACACACGTTTTTCTACCGAATAAGTTCTCGAGTATAGAAGCAAAGCACAAAAATACAATTGAACCATGTAGGATAATTCCTTTTTGATCCTTCTCAGAGATTGATTGACACAAAAGAGCAAGGTTTCCAATAAAGACCGAACGTTGTCCCTGAAGTCAGATTAACAAAAAATTGCAGCTATCAGCTTAATTAAGGCTGTAATAATTCCACCAATAAGGAGAAAAATACGTAGTTATGGTTAATGACTGAAGTTGGAAAAAAAAAAGCCCATACCACCACATAAGCAAACCGACTAGATCTTCCGCTATTCAAGGTTTTCCTAGCGGCAATGGCTTTGTTGTCGGCTCGTCGAACCCGAAATTTCTTAAGAAATTGGAGGAATTTGGATTCGAGGGACTTTTGTTTAGTGGGTTCAAGTTTCACTTCAATGCGAAATGGCCAAAGCTTAAGGAGGATCGAGAATTGAAAAAACTTGCCAGCGGGTAAGATATCTGTTGCCTTCAGTTTGAAATGGAAGCCCTTGGCCCTGGCATGAACATAGAGGTTCCATAGTTGTTGCCGCTGTGCTTGCATTCTGAGAGCAGAGAAATCGGGCACCACCCAGTGATAAAAGAATTGAGATTGAAGTAGTTTATGTGCTTTTTTACTAGCCGTTGGACTGGTTTAGGTTGGGTCTGGATCTGGACTGTACAAATGTTTCTGGTTTACAATTTAGCCATCTAAAAGGCCTTGACTGTGCTAGTCGAGTAATTCGATCGGATATTTGATTGTGGGTATTTTTTTTTTTTTAAATTTACTTGATTTTAATCATCGGTCAAACTTATATTTTATTGAGTTTTTTTTTATTAAATTATTGTCATTAAATATACATTTAAATTTTTTTTTTGTATTACCTAATTACTCCTATTATAAATACTATATATCATTATTAGTTTTAGTATTTTCAAATATAAAATAATTTTAATACTAGAACAATTTTCAACTTAGGAATTGTTAGTTTTTTCAAACAAGATTTAATTAAATATGACTATTGAGAATATTTTGGACAGTAAAGATTAAAATAGACTTATTTTCAAATAAGTTTTTTGAGTAGATTTAAATCCAAATAAATTTACAAAAAATGACGGACCTCCAAAGGACCCTAATTCGATTATATTGGTCCACTCTTGTGTCTGGGTCCATCATCTCCGTCAATTGGGCCAGAAGCTTTACGCTCTAAGAAATATGCATATAGATATAAGATATGAGTATGATATGACAAAATTTTTAAAAATAAGATATGAATATAATTATAATATGTTTGTATTATATATATCTAACCACTTGTCACTTGAAAAATATGGTTTTTAATTTCTCTTTAGCAATAATAAGTAAAATTGACAATTTTTGCTTTAAAAAAGGTATATATTGTCTCATTGTAATATATACACANTGGTTTTTAGACATCTTTGCCCTCTACATTTTTCTGATACCAAAATACCCTTTTCTTTTTCTCTCTTTGTCTGAAATTACCTGGAAGACCCAATGTACCTTTCCTTTTTTTTAAGCAGTGAAATGCAAAAGATTAATATAATATCAAATTTGTGAACAAAAAACTACACATTTGAGCACAATTTATTGAATAGTAATGCTTTGGTATCATGCCAAAAAAATATTGAATTATAAATTTTAAATTAGATGTTGTGTAATCATTAATAGTAAAAATAATAAAAATATTTTATGTGTCATTTTGTAATTGGGTAAAAAGAGTATGGGACCCTTGTATATGCGTGGGTTGGTAGAGGGATATTTTGGACATTGCATGGAAAAAAAAAAGAGAAAAATCAGTGGTGATAATGGGGCATTATGGTAAATTTAAAAGCAGGTAGCTCGATTTTCAACAAAGANGGAAAAAAAAAGGAGAAAAATCAGAGGTGATAATGTGGCATTATGGTAAATTTAAAAGCAGGTAGCTCGATTTTCAACAAAGAGGGGCTCGATTGAGGTGACAGGCCAGTCAAAGTTGGAAAATTATTATCAAACTTAAAAAGCATATGGTTTTCAAGTGTAGTCAGAGAGACTTATCTTGATGGGTCTTTGACTCTCAATATGGACCGTCAGATTTGAGTGTGGAGGAGGATCGACGGCCATTCAAAGAGTCTTGCGGGACCCACTGACATAAACATTTTTGTCCTTAATAATGGGTTAAACTCACGCGCCTTCAAAAACCCACTCTCCAAAGAGATATACCTTCGGCAACACATGTGGGCCGTGAATTCGACTTTTTTTTATTTCTTTTTTGGTTTTATTTTTCATTTTTATTTAGTTTTATTATTATTATTATTTTTACATATGGAGAATGTAAATGGTAAATTACAATGCTATCTGAACACGTCTAGTCCCGTAAAAGTCGATTTTAGTATTTATTTTTTTGATTTTTAAATAATTAAATAATAATTATTTTTTTAATTAAGAGATGATCCTGATTCAATTCAATGGCCTCCAATGAAACTTACGATCCATAACCTGACATGAATAAAATTAGGAACAAAGGTCGATTTTGAAGGGGCTCACATTATTAATGTCCAAGATTCATTCGATACAGATCAGATAGCATGCGAAAAAACGTAAGAAATCATGATATGATAAAGATAGACTATCTTTGACCGAACCATGATCAAATTAATTGAGCAAGATATGACTCTAGCCGATTTAAATCTTGAATGACTCGATTTGAATAGTAATTGATCAGTCATTAAAGACCGATCAGATATAAATGTTAGAATCCGAGTAAAACTCTAAGTCTAATAATAAAAACTAAGACCGAATAAAAAAATAGTTTAGCTACCCAAATGGTTAGAGGTACTTTTAGGTAACCAATAAAAAAAATTGTTTAAATTATAAATACATGTTATAAACATATGACTTAAAAGACCGACCAACTTAAAAGAAAATCTAGAAAGATACCAACGCAAATTTGAATAGTTCTCAAGAAATTGATTCTTTTTAACTTGTTTTTTTTTTTTTTGTTGAAACTTGAAAGAGTCTTATGGAACTGAAAAGTAGCTGTGGGTTTATTTTCAACAAGGGACTTCTCAACAGTGGGACATTTTCTCAAGTAGTTTTTGCGTGCAATTCAAAACGTTTTCACACCCTTCTGATTTCTAACTTGCCTCTGCAATTATATACCAACTTTGGTGCCATGAAATTGCTTTTCCCGAGCTCTGTTTGGCCGGTAGGATTAGGAATCATCCAGGGAGCCTTGTTTTTGCAAGTTAATTTCCACAGCCACTATCAAAATAATGTCACAATAACTAATTTACCTCTCTCATATTCACATTAACATTGTCTAATTACTAAACTCACAACTAAGGGTGTCAAATTATGACATGATCCGTTACTACGATACAAAATTAGAATATTTGACTTTTTTTTTCAACTACCTGTTTTTTAAATGAGTGGATTAGACCAGACACAATTAATAAATGAATCAGATATAGTAAAAACTTTCTAATTTTATGATACGAATTCGATAAAATACGAATTAATAAACAAATCGAGTATGAGTGAAATATTTTTTGATAAGAGCTTACTAAAACCCTTCACGATAGCCACAACCGAAGTTGTGATGTCGTCCCAGTTAGTAATGTTAATTGTAACATTTATTAGATTGCAAGAAAGATAGGGAAATTGCACTTCACAAAAGACTGCATAAATTGGATTTTCCCATTATTTTCAAACTTTAATAGTGTGTTTGGTTTGATGAAAAATTGAGTGGATCAAAAATGGGAGGAGAAAAACGGGATGAAAAGAAAGACTTTCTATTCTTTGATTATAAAAGAAAATAGGAGAGAAAGTGTTTCCCTCCAATACATTATTTTTTTTCCCTCTCAAAAATGGAAAAAAAGTGAGGAAAATTGAAAACCAACTGTTTTTTTAACAAATTAACCTTTTTTCGCTCTTAAATATATTTCTAAATATTATGCCATAATTTCAAATAAAAACCTGCACATTTCTCAAGAAATATTTATAAGAGTATTTTCAGCTTTTTATTTTTTTTTGTATGCAAATTTAAATTTGAGTAAAAATATTCTAAAATATTTCTCTAATACTAGACTCATACTTATATCGAATGAAGGTAAACTATTTTTTAAACTCAAATAAAGGGAAACCCAAATTTATACTAAATTCTTTAACGGTGAGATTTTATAATTCTTTAAAGATTCAATGGTCATCTTTTACCCTCTTTTAAATTTGAATTTGTTCTCAATTAAATTTGGATTTCTTTTCCTTTAAATTTGAGTTTTTTCATTGGACATATTAATATCAAATCAAATTTTTTACTCAAATTTAAGTAAAAGTTTGAATTTCCATATGAGATAGTCAAAATATCCTATTACATACATTTTTCCTATGTATGTTTTTTTACTATTATTTTTAGTATAGATATTTTTATAACAAATTACAACGACCATGAATCTTTAAAAATTTATTTGTAATTAAAAAATAGTTTTATATGTAAGGGTATAATAATAAATTAAGTACATTTATTTATTTTTCTTTTTTTCTTAAATACCAAACAATAAAAAAATTAATTCCTTGAACTTTTCATCCGTCTCCTAAACACAGAGAGGGAAAAAATTTTCTTCTCTCCAAAGATAAAAAGCCTATTCTTCACATTTTTTCATCATTCTGATTCTCTCTCTCTCTCTCCTGTCAAACAGAGCACAAGGGAGGCAGTTTTCCCTCTCGTTCTCCCAAATCCGTTGTTGCCCTTAAACAAAAAGTGCCGGAGGAATTCTAAATTTAACCAGAAGTAAAATTTGGAATGAATGTCGAAACCCAAATAAAACAAAAGAAAAGGAGAAATTTTTGAGTGAGTTTTAAGTTAAAACACTGCTGAGACGGCAAAAGTGGTGGGTTAAACCCAAACAAAACAAACACATTCAATACCCATCACCTGGAAAAAAAAAAGTACATTAAATACAGACACCCAGAGAAGGAAGTATAAGTCCTAGCTTTCCAAACATATTCTGAGGCATGGCCTTCACCATATACATAAATCAGAAGATAACTTTTCATTTGCTGCACCACATTGAGTAACCCACCATTGAAAAACTTAAAATCCCCAAAAAAACACACGTTTTTCTACCGAATAAGTTCTCGAGTATAGAAGCAAAGCACAAAAATACAATTGAACCATGTAGGATAATTCCTTTTTGATCCTTCTCAGAGATTGATTGACACAAAAGAGCAAGGTTTCCAATAAAGACCGAACGTTGTCCCTGAAGTCAGATTAACAAAAAATTGCAGCTATCAGCTTAATTAAGGCTGTAATAATTCCACCAATAAGGAGAAAAATACGTAGTTATGGTTAATGACTGAAGTTGGAAAAAAAAAAGCCCATACCACCACATAAGCAAACCGACTAGATCTTCCGCTATTCAAGGTTTTCCTAGCGGCAATGGCTTTGTTGTCGGCTCGTCGAACCCGAAATTTCTTAAGAAATTGGAGGAATTTGGATTCGAGGGACTTTTGTTTAGTGGGTTCAAGTTTCACTTCAATGCGAAATGGCCAAAGCTTAAGGAGGATCGAGAATTGAAAAAACTTGCCAGCGGGTAAGATATCTGTTGCCTTCAGTTTGAAATGGAAGCCCTTGGCCCTGGCATGAACATAGAGGTTCCATAGTTGTTGCCGCTGTGCTTGCATTCTGAGAGCAGAGAAATCGGGCACCACCCAGTGATAAAAGAATTGAGATTGAAGTAGTTTATGTGCTTTTTTACTAGCCGTTGGACTGGTTTAGGTTGGGTCTGGATCTGGACTGTACAAATGTTTCTGGTTTACAATTTAGCCATCTAAAAGGCCTTGACTGTGCTAGTCGAGTAATTCGATCGGATATTTGATTGTGGGTATTTTTTTTTTTTTAAATTTACTTGATTTTAATCATCTGTCAAACTTATATTTTATTGAGTTTTTTTTTATTAAATTATTGTCATTAAATATACATTTAAATTTTTTTTTTTGTATTACCTAATTACTCCTATTATAAATACTATATATCATTATTAGTTTTAGTATTTTCAAATATAAAATAATTTTAATACTAGAACAATTTTCAACTTAGGAATTGTTAGTTTTTTCAAACAAGATTTAATTAAATATGACTATTGAGAATATTTTGGACAGTAAAGATTAAAATAGACTTATTTTCAAATAAGTTTTTTGAGTAGATTTAAATCCAAATAAATTTACAAAAAATGACGGACCTCCAAAGGACCCTAATTCGATTATANATACTAGAACAATTTTCAACTTAGGAATTGTTAGTTTTTTCAAACAAGATTTAATTAAATATGACTATTGAGGATATTTTGGACAGTAAAGATTAAAATAGACTTATTTTCAAGTAAATTTTTTGAGTAGATTTAAATCCAAATAAATTTACAAAAAATGACGGACCTCCAAAGGACCCTAATTCGATTACATTGGTCCACTCTTGTGTCTGGGTCCATCATCTCCGTCAATTGGGCCAGAAGCTTTACGCTCTAAGAAATATGCATATAGATATAAGATATGAGTATGATATGACAAAATTTTTAAAACTAAGATATGAATATAATTATAATATGTTTGTATTATATATATCTAACCACTTGTCACTTGAAAAATATGGTTTTTAATTTCTCTTTAGCAATAATAAGTAAAATTGACAATTTTTGCTTTAAAAAAGGTATATATTGTCTCATTGTAATATATACACAGAGTGTACATAAGTAATTAAAGAAAGCAGAACCAATATTTAATTAATTGGTGTGCTTATGCTGTAATTTCTTAATTTTATGCTCTTTAAACATGTGATGTGATATAAGATAATTAGTAATAACTTTGTGTCTGAAGACACTCTGTAATACTAAAAATTGAACATTAATCATGTAATATTTATATTTTAAATAGCAATTTAGTTCTTACTTATGTTTTTAATTACACAATTTAAAATTAAGGTGAACATAAAGAAAATAAGAGAGATGTAGGTGTAGACTAGTACAGTTGTTTGATATTAGAGAATGTGTTAGTTGAATTATTTTACATTAGTGACCATGCAAAAAATATGTTATTTTTGAGTANTTAGCAATAATAAGTAAAATTGACAATTTTTGCTTTAAAAAAGGTATATATTGTCTTATTGTAATATATACACAGAGTGTACATGAGTAATTAAAGAAAGCAGAACCAATATTTAATTAATTGGTGTGCTTTGAAATATTGATTGCTAAGGTTATGCTGTAATTTCTTAATTTTATGCTCGTTAAACATGTGATGTGATATAAGATAATTAGTAATAACTTTGTGTCTGAAGACACTCTGTAATACTAAAAATTGAACATTGATCATGTGATATTTATATTTTAAATAATAATTTAGTTTTTACTTATGTTTTTAATTACACAATTTAAAATTAAGGTGAACATAAAGAAAATAAGAGAGATGTAGGTGTAGACTAGTATAGTTGTTTGATATTAGGGAATGTGTTAGTTGAATTATTTTACATTAGTGACCATGCAAAAAATATGTTGTTTTTGAGCAGAAAAAAAAAATTAGAATAAATTTTATACAATTGAATTAATATTGACCGTTATTATACTTTTATAAGTTGGGAATTCAACTTCTTAGTATAATATTAGATAAAATACTTCAAAAATAATTGTTTGAGTTCAAAGTTATATGAATTTATTGATGAATTGCATTATGTGAATTCGAAAGGAAAGGGTAAAGATTAAAAATTAAAAATTAAATATATTGCTCTGCATATAGAATATTCGTGAAATATCTATATATGTTACATATCCGATATATATCGTTGAGTATCTAACAAATATCAAATATAATATGACTAGTTATTGTCTGTGCCTGAAGGCACANTCAACTTCTTAGTATAATATTAGATAAAATACTTCAAAAATAATTGTTTGAGTTCAAAGTTATATGAATTTATTGATGAATTGCATTATGTGAATTCGAAAGGAAAGGGTAAAGATTAAAAATTAAAAATTAAATATATTGCTCTGCATATAGAATATTCGTGAAATATCTATATATTTTACATATCCGATATATATCGTTGAGTATCTAACAAATATCAAATATAGTATGACTAGTTATTATCTGTGCCTGAAGGCATAATAATAAAAAATGGTAAACATTAAACATATTTGTATTCATATCCAAAATCAAATCACAAATATAAAGAATAGATAAATAAATTTAATTATCGTTTTATAGTGGAGGTGAGAGGTGGTGGGCGACAGTGGTAATGGCTGCGAGGACGATGGTGGTAGTGGCAACGGCAACAGTGGTGGCGGCGGCAGTGGCGGTAACGGTAGTGGTGGCAGAGGTAATGGTGATGCGGTTTTAAATGCTATATTTTTTTAAAGTATTTATGAGAAATAATTTTTAAAATATTTATAAAAAGTCACTCTAAACACACCCTTAGGACCTTATTTTTCATATTAAATTTAGGGTGTTAATATTAGCCGTTAAATTAACTTTAAAATAAAATATAAAACGATCTCAACCGCGAATATCAAAAATCATTTTGTTCATTTTTTGAGATTTGAATTGTAAGCTATTTTAGTATATACACTATTTATTGCCTGTGCCTGAAGCCACAAAGTAATAAAAAATAGTACACAATAAACATATTTGTATTCATTTCAAAAATTAAATCACAAACATAGATGAGAGATAAATAAATTTAAACATCGGCTGTAATGGGAGTGAGACGTAATGAGCGGTAGTGGTGGTGGTAGAAGACGGTGATGGTTGTGGTGAGTGACAATGACTGTGGTGGAGACGGTGGCGGTGGTGGCGGCGGCGACGACGACGACGACGGTGATGGTGGTGGTAGTGGAGGTGGCGGCAATAATGACAGCGGTAAACATAGTGGTGGTGGTAGTGGTGAGACGGTTTCAAACACTATTTTTTTTTAAAGTACTTATAAAAAATAATTCTTATAAGTAATTCTAAAAAGTCACTTCAAACACACCCTTACAGGCCTATTTTTCCTATTAAATTTAGGGTGTTAATATTAGCCGTTAAATTAACTTTAAAATAAAATATAAAGCGATCTCAACCGCGAATATCAAAAATCATTTTGTTCATTTTTTGAGATTTGAATTGTAAGCTATTTTAGTATATACACTAGTTATTGCATGTGCCTGAAGCCACAAAGTAATAAAAAATAGTACACAATAAACATATTTGTATTCATATCAAAAATTAAATCACAAACATAGATGAGAGATAAATAAATTTAAACATCGGCTGTAATGGGAGTGAGACGTAATGGGCGGTAGTGGTGGTGGTAGAAGACGGTGATGGTTGTGGTGAGTGACAATGACTGTGGTGGCGGCGGTGGTGGTGGTGGCGGCGACGACGACGACGACGACGGTGATGGTGGTGGTAGTGGAGGTGGCGGCAATAATGACAGCGGTAAACATAGTGGCGGTGGTAGTGGTGAGACGGTTTCAAACACTATTTTTTTTTAAAGTACTTATAAAAAATAATTCTTATAAGTAATTTTAAAAAGTCACTTCAAACACACCCTTACAGGCCTATTTTTCCTATTAAATTTAGGGTGTTAATATTAGTCGTTAGATTAACTTTAAAGTAAAATTTAAAACGATCTCAACCGTGAATAGCAAAAGTCATTTTGTTTATTTTTTGAGNGGTGATGGTGGTGGTAGTGGAGGTGGCGGCAATAATGACAGCGGTAAACATAGTGGTGGTGGTAGTGGTGAGACGGTTTCAAACACTATTTTTTTTTAAAGTACTTATAAAAAATAATTCTTATAAGTAATTCTAAAAAGTCACTTCAAACACACCCTTACAGGCCTATTTTTCCTATTAAATTTAGGGTGTTAATATTAGTCGTTAGATTAACTTTAAAGTAAAATTTAAAACGATCTCAACCGTGAATAACAAAAGTCATTTTGTTAATTTTTTGAAANCTATTTTTCCTATTAAATTTAGGGTGTTAATATTAGTCGTTAGATTAACTTTAAAGTAAAATTTAAAACGATCTCAACCGTGAATAGCAAAAGTCATTTTGTTTATTTTTTGAGATTTGAATTATAAACTACTTTATTATATAGATATACTATAAGTATCTATAACATAGTTTTCATAATAAGTTTTCCGTATTCAACTAATAATAAACATTTTTCTAACAGGCCCTAGAACATCTCACAAGCTGAGGCTTGATCTGGTAGATGGAAAATTTACCAATACTGATTCATTTCATAATTTCATTAGAAACAGACTATTATCCTTTAACACACTAACCATCTATGAAGACATGCTGCTTTTTATGAGAATCCAAAAAACCTCTGGGATTTAAAATGTGGCCTCCAGTCCAGGAAACTGTATATCAATATTCATATTCGGACCGTNCCTTTAACACACTAACCATCTATGAAGACATGCTGCTTTTTATGAGAATCCAAAAACCCTCTGGGATTTAAAATGTGGCCTCTAGTCCAGGAAACTGTATATCAATATTCATATTCGGACCATATCTACCAAGTAAAGTTGAACAGTGTGAAGACTTGAACATCTGACACTAACTTCTGGATGTTGTCTCCCTGGCATCAAGTTGTTTTCTTCTACAACTATGGCCAGCCACAGTACTACTTTGCTGGCCCGAAACGATAACCGCAGTGGCTAAGCTCTGGCAGCTTCATGAGCTGTACTTGAAGGGCTTGAACGTTCAAGCTGCAGTGAAGGCCGACGACAATTAGGACACGATGAATTTGACATTAGCCATTGGTCTATGCATCTTACATGGAACCCGTGATTACAATTGGGTAGTAATCGAACCCTCTCACCATCCACAAACTCTCCCAGGCATATTGTGCACTCAGTTGCCGGAATATTGGATCCTGAACCATAAATTGCCGTTGGAATCTTACGCAAAGCATGCTTCTTGAGGCCGGTGGTGGCCTCACACACTGCACTTTGTTCCGGTGTCTCCATGGCAAACCTATGACTACAACGTAGAGCACAACGCACAATTGAGTTCAATCCAAGTGCAAATATCAGAGCACATAACAAGGCCGCCAGAATGATCACCAAGTTGGTGTCAAAATTGGATTCACTAGCTTTGTTTCCGTTCCGTAGTGGCATACCTGGCTCCGTGACAAGAAGGCGGCGATTTAAATTCATCATTGCTGGTTTGGCCACCATCAAAAAAATTTAGAGAGCAGTGGGTGCAAACTGAAAGACTCTAGTAGCTATGATGGTTATTATAGATTTTGACCTGTAAGTTTGGATGGGGCTCGGTTGATGATGAGTACTCTCCAATGAAAAACAGTTCAGGGCTTAGAAAGTCTCAGGCTCTTTTAGATTTTCATCAAGAGCAAAAGGGAAAAAGGGGTTGCTTCGAGTTACACTTATGTTGTACATATTCCAACTAGAAAAAATGACATAAAAAGAGCATATTCGTCATCTTTGGATAAGAAAAGGATAAGAAAAGAAAATCGTAACTTGTTTTTGGAGGTGCTTGTTATCTGAATTGGGGACCGTTTGCTGGCAGGATTCGAGCTTGTTAAGCACAACTGGTCCTCTCTTGCCTATGCTTTGTTCCACTATAAATCGATGTTGTTGTTGGCCAAACGTGCTGTGAATTCCTCCTCTGACTATGCATATATGGGATGGGTGACCAAATGGTGCATAGGACAACGTATGGCTTATCAAGTGCCCTTGGTCTCTGAGGTGGCCAAAGTATAAGTACCCTGAGATACACACAACACAACAGTTGTGCAGGTTTCCTTCCGCATATACCTAATCATGATAAGGGCTACATAAATAAAGAAATTGTGTTTCTACTGATTAATTCACTGTTGGGAGTTGGAACAACAACTCCCTTAAAAACTGCTAGTTTCCAATGTAAGCTGTCTAATGTCCTTAGCAAATACAAGGACAAAGAACAAACTGTGTGCTTAGGTGAACTGCCATTAGTCATGTATCGAGCCCTTTAGCTACGGTAGTTGGACTTGTTAACGTTTGTGTTGTTTTTTATTTTTATCACATTACCAAACTTTTTGGTATACTTCCTAAACTAGTAATTTGCAAGATCAAGAACACTTTTTCTCTTCATCAAATCCACAATATGTAGATCCCACAATCTAAAAATCTACCTGGTTCACACCTTACCAAAAACAACATAAAAAAATCATTTAATTCTGCATTTATTTTTAAATAATATTAAATTAAGCAATTAAAAGTAAAATAATATTTCTTGCGTACAACACCGACTATACAAATTATTCTTATTCAGCACTAATTGATCAATTTTATTTGTTGAAACTTGAAATGAATTTCATATTTTGGCCCAAATATCAAATGGCAAATCAGAGTACTGTTGTTAAGTAAAAATTTCATATGACACATGGATAAGTACCAATGATTTATTATTTTTATTCTGTGATCTTATTGAAAATTGACATTAATGGAAGTTGTATGCCTTTATACTAACCAATTCATACCGCCAAGTAGAGTTGGTTTTCCCACATAAACAAATAGGACTCGATTCGTTAAATATGACACGATCAAGACATGAAATTAGAGAGTTTAGATTTTTTTGAAGTCACCAATTTTATAAGCAAGTAGACTCGATGTGACATGATTAATAAATGAATCAATGTATCANCTGTGATCTTATTGAAAATTGACATTAATGGAAGTTGTATGCCTTTATACTAACCAATTCATACCGCCAAGTAGAGTTGGGTTTCCCACATAAACAAATAGGACTCGATTCTTTAAATATGACACGATCAAGACATGAAATTAGAGAGTTTAGATTTTTTTTAAGTCACCAATTTTATAAGCAAGTAGACTCGATGTGACATGATTAATAAATGAATCAATGTATCATAGAAGTCAAGGGCGGAGCCGGAAATTTATACGAAGGTGGGCACCAATTATAAGTTTAAACTTTTAATTTCCTATCAATTAAAATAAATGATGCATATAATTTTTTTAAATAATATATAGCACCTAAAAATTCATTAATACCTTTTTTTGTAGGTAGTAATAACTCTGATTTAAACTTTTTTTAAAAGTATTTCTCCANAAATGAATCAATGTATCATAGAAGTCAAGGGCGGAGCCGGAAATTTATACGAAGGTGGGCACCAATTATAAGTTTAAACTTTTAATTTCCTATCAATTAAAATAAATGATGCATATAATTTTTTTAAATAATATATAGCACCTAAAAATTCATTAATACCTTTTTTTGTAGGTAGTAATAACTTTGATTTAGACTTTTTTTAAAAGTATTTCTCTANAATTAAAATAAATGATGCATATAATTTTTTTAAATAATATATAGCACCTAAAAATTCATTAATACCTTTTTTTGTAGGTAGTAATAACTCTGATTTAAACTTTTTTTAAAAGTATTTCTCCATAATTATTTCAAATAATTAATAAAAAAAATAAGTAGAAAGTAAATACAAGTACAAATATAATTTTTTCTTCAATTTTATGGTTAATATATTAAAAATGATATTATAGTAATAAATAAAATAAGTACACAACGAACTAAAGAATTCAAGTAAATTAGAACACAAAAACCCCAAATTACAATTTTTAATCGTAACCAATTTTTGATTAAGCNTAAAAAAAATAAGTAGAAAGTAAATACAAGTACAAATATAATTTTTTCTTCAATTTTATGGTTAATATATTAAAAATGATATTATAGTAATAAATAAAATAAGTACACAACGAACTAAAGAATTCAAGTAAATTAGAACACAAAAATGCCAAATTACAATTTTTAATCGTAACCAATTTTTGATTAAGCTGCAATTTTAAAAAATTTAAGAGTTAGTAGACCCAATTTAGTGGATTGTTTTGAGTACACTCAATATTTTTTGGTTTGTTTTGAGTGGGCACAACTTGGGGCACTTAGAGGGTATGAACAAAATATATATGGGTAATAATGCAAAAAAAAATTGAAAAATTTCAATGGGCAGGTGCCCTCCAGACCAGCACTAGCTCCGCCACTGAGTGATGTCAATCAACAAAATACATGACACAACTCTTTCATATATCAATTGTACATGATTCATATACGATACAAATCCGATATGATACAACTAATCGANGGGGCACTTAGAGGGTATGAACAAAATATATATGGGTAATAATGCAAAAAAAAATTAAAAAATTTCAATGGGCAGGTGCCCTCCAGACCAGCACTAGCTCCGCCCCTGAGTGATGTCAATCAGTAAAATACATGACACAACTCTTTCATATATCAATTGTACATGATTCATATACGATACAAATCCGATATAATACAACTAATCAAACACGAATTAATAAAACCAAGGAAAAGTTGCCACCCGAATGGATTAGGAGAGTCAGGGTCGCCCGAACCCAACCATGATTGCCTGATGGGACTTGCACAGATCCATCCAAACCCAACCTCAACATGTCTCTAACATGCTGAGGTGCTGGTAAGAAAACAAAGCCCAATACAAGCCCAATTTAGTGTGGGTTGGACCTTTCAGGAAATTTAGTAGGACCATATTTGGATAATTTTAGATTCACCAGCCAACCACAACGGTCCATATTTGTTTTGAACTTTAGGAAATCGAGCGCAACGGTCAAGATCTAACCTTTTCCTGAATCATACGATGATGAAGGGATCAACGATCACAAATTCACTAGATTCAAATAGTTTCACAATATGTGTTTTACGTGTTGGCGCCTTTTGCTTCACAGTTAGAGAGCTTCTATCGCAAGCTTCAGAAACACTACCCCTCTCTGTCTGTCCCTCTGTCTGGGGGGTTTTTGCAAACGCCATTTTCATTCTTCACGAAGCTTTCTGGGCTAAGAAGTACTTACTTTAGGAGCAGTAACTTCAGGAGAGGAGCAACTATCTTGCTTAGGGTATTCCTTAACGTTTTAGAGTTGTCTGGTTGAGAAAGGAGACAGCGGAGCTCCCTGGATTAATAGGAAATCGACAATAGAGGGTATCATGATGAAGAAATCGAGGAGGAAATCTTCGATTGTTCCAAAAGAGGGAAACGATTCGGTACATTTCTAAACTATCGTTGTTCTTATAAGCTTTCTCGAATGCTCTTGGATTCTATATCTGCGTAAGTAACAAACCAGTATTGCATGGATGGACCACCCACTAACCAGAGCTGAAAATGACTTCTACTTTCAATTTACCAGAAACCCATTTTATCACTTTGTCCCAAATGCTAGTATTTTTCTTAGGCCCAGATTAATAGCAATTGAAGAACGAAATCGAAGTGTATTTCAGCAACGTTAAGTCTCAAAAGCATAAGAACTTAAGCGGTGTTTGGAATGGTAATCCTAGAATGAATTCTTGCAATTGATGGCACGACAGTTTTTTTTTTTCTCAGTATGCATCTGGGTTATTTTTCACTTTTTGAGGAATGGAACTCTGTTTCCGCTTATGAGATGAGATGGCATTTGCTCATAATGGCTAGAGTACCTAATCAACGCACTATTCACCTCTTCAACCACTGAGCAAATATACTGTTCTTTATAATCGTTATCTTTTCATACATACACGTATATAGACACCGTTACATATGCTGATTCTTTACCTATGCTTTTTCCAGTTGCTCATTATTTGTGACTTTACTGAAGTAGTTTCAATCTGTCACGGTGTTAAATTCTGATTTCTGAATCAGACTTCTAGGTTATGTTAGGAACTTGTGCCTAATTTATAATTGCCCCAGCTTTGTGCTTCTAATATAACAATCAATTTTATTTTTGCTTGTCAAATTATGGGTGTCATATTAATTGTTAACTAATACTATAGATTAATAGTAATTCAATGTAGTATCCTTTTTTAAAATTAAATAAAAAAGTACAAACCCAAATAACTTCCCTCCATAACTTTTCATCTAAAACTTCCCACAGCCATGTTTATCTTCATTACCTATCTCTTTTTTCTCATTCATGACCAACACTTCATTTGAGATATTTAACTTTTCATCACGTCGTGTGTACCACGAAATTTAGTCATTATAACATATGTACATTGGAGATCTCGTGGAGTATCATTTTTTTTTACAGTTGCACATCCCCTTTAAGTAATGGTGGTAAATTATTTTGGATGCTGCTATAACATGTCATTGCATGATGGACACATGAAAAAAACAAGATTGGTAGATCTCAAGAGTATTCTTTCTTGCAGATTGGCAACTTCAGTACTAGGTTCTCCTTGCCATCATTTATCAAACTAGTGAACAAGCTCACAGAAAGTCAAAAGGATGCCATAGAGAGTGTGGGGTTTGGCAATTTGCTCCGGATTCTTGATCAAATGCTTTGCAAAAACCTTTTAGTTGAATTGATGTAGAGATGGAGTTGTGAGAAACGTGCTTTTATACTTCTGCTGGGAGAGATAAGAATAACTCTAATGGACGTTGCATTGATTTTAGGACTACGCGTGATAGCAAAACCTGTAATCCTTAAAGAAGATGAACCTTTTTCGGATTTAGAGAGGCTCTATGGTGCTACTGTTTGGAATAGGAAGATCACAGTAGCTTCAATTGAGGAGAGACTTGAGTCTCTTGGTGGGAGAGATGACGCGGACTTCACCAGATCCTTTTTGTTATTTGTATTTGCAACATTGCTATTTCCGAAAACAAATTACAAAGTAGATTCCTGTTTTATTCCTTTTTTGCGGGACTTAGACAAGGTGAAGGATTTTGCCTGGGGAGCTGCTGTTCATGAGGAAGTGTTGAACTGGTTGTGCAGAAAAAAGGAGACTAATGTACAATATGTAGGAGGCTGTCTTATCTTTTTCCAAGTAAGTGTTTAGACCTTATAGAAAACAATCCAATCAAGAGTTTAGACCATAGGAAAAAAAACAATTCATTTAACTTTTTCAGAGGCATTGAAATGGAGCCTTGGCATTGCAATTGGCAATCACATTAGCCTTAAATATAAGAATGGTTTGCTTCCGTTTCAAATTCCAACTCCAATGCCTGGATTCCACGTTGCAAGCGTTGCTTTGGTACCTTTGATTTTTAAGTTGTGTTTAAAAGTCAAGGGGTACCAAGAATTTGTGCTGAATGACGTTGAATCTCTAAGCTGCTATTCTAAATTTTAAAAATCTTGACCTATATTATGTTAATGTTGAAGATATGGTTTTACGAGCATGTCGATATTGGTCGGCCTACTTTAAGAGATTGCTCCTTGACATTTCCTCGTGTCTGCCGATGGGAGAATAGTAGGTCCAAAAATCGACAATGGTTTATGACCAAATTTAAGGAACTGCAACATAATCAGGTACACAAGGATAAGGTCACTTGTTATTTACTTGATAACTTCCAGCTTGACTATTTGTTCATCTCAAGCAAAGCTAAAGTGTGTGGCTGCATCATACCTTATTTTTAACTGCCATTTCAGGGTGCAAATGGTGTTTGAATCTATGTTGTCATTTGCTGTTCTAGTTTGCAATTAATCAGATTTGGCCAATGTTATGAGTTAGATTGTAACATCTATTGTCAGATGTTATGGGAGCTTCAATTGACTTCCGAGGAGTCAGAAATGGATATAATTAAAAAGTTATTTGATGCGCGAACTGATGTAAGAGAACCATACAATCCACAATGCTCTTCAATAAGTGTTTCAGTGCCTAATGTGAGTTTATTGTGTTATTTGGTCATTTTTTTTAATCCATTGCATTCACGAGATTCAAACTTTCTGTTTTCTTATATGATAGCAGAGTTTTTAAATTTACATCCCTATGCAACCAACAGTTCTTTTGTTATTGTGTGTTGTTTCCCTATACCTTCCATTAATTTGCATGAAGTAAATTCTTTCGGTCAACAGGAGAATTACGTAAGGACTAGACTTGAAATCAGGGAACATTGGGTCATTGACATAGAAAGTTAAGTAGATGTAGCCATAGTCAGTGAAGTATGTGGGGTGCAAGAAAAACATGTGTCGAATGTGTTGAGAAATATAGGTATTTCTTCCACGACTGATTATGTGCAGGAGGGACAAAGAGAACAAACAGACAATCCATGGGCTTCCGAAGATACTTCCAGTATTGTTATCATTAGCGATGTAAGTTTATGGTTTATTGTTTCTATTTTTCCTTAATCTTTGTCTTTTTCTATCCTACTACTTAGAAAAACGAAAGAAAAAAAACTTCAATTTTTTCATTCAGGAGGATGATGAGGGTGATTTGGGAATAAAAAATCAGATTTTAGAAGAGCACAATGTTGAATTGAAGAAGGAGATTGATAACCTGAAAAAAGAAAATGAATTTTTGAAATGCCAGCTCATGTTAAGTACAAGGGTAGAAGAGCAAAATGTAGAACTACGGAAGGAAGTGGAAAACCTGAGACCAGAGAACTAGCTTTTAAGATTGTCTGCAGATGTTCTCGTGGTTCGATTAGAAAAACTTGTTTTTGATGAGAAGAGAATGTAAATGCAACTAAAGGACACCGCCTCCTGAGTTCACCCTCCAATGTTTTCTAAGCATTACAGGATCCGGTATCCCATATTGAAGTCTAACAATGTGGCACCATCGATGTAAGGTGGTCACATGGTCCATAAGAAAGGATTCAGCTTCTCACATGTTAAATCACTTATGGTAGATCGAATTGCAGTGATGTTTATAAGTTAATTATTCATTTATATATTTTAGGAGATTTATTATTAAATAAAATTGAGTAGAATTATAAGAGAGAAAATTGAAATCTTGATCAACACCCTGAAAATGGCTACAACAAACGCACCAGTGCATCTGTAATAATCCATACTGATGGGCTAAACTTAAAAGTTCAACTCATGTTATAAGTCTAGTTTGAATTAAGAGTTTAACTTGAAGAGATCTAGTGGGTCCAACCCAAAAGAGTTCACGCTCAGTTAGGGTTGTCAAAATTTGATACGACATGATTAACCAACATAAATCAACACGAATTAAGCGGATTTTGGTGAGATCTTAACGAGTTTAGGTGATAAACGAGTTGACATGTTAAACACGTTCAATAAACGGGTCATGTTCGGATGAGACCTGTTAAATCGTTTATTACACGTTTACTCGTTTAAATAAAATTAATATAATAATAAATTAATAATTATTTTAAAAAATTAACAAAAAAAAAAAAGAAGTAAAGAAATCAATAAAAAAAAAAAAGAAATAAAGTAATAGTTTAAAGACAAAAGAGATGAGATGAGGAGCACTTTAAAGACAAAGGCNGCAAAAAAAAAAAAGAAGTAAAGAAATCAATAAAAAAAAAAAGAAATAAAGTAATAGTTTAAAGACAAAAGAGATGAGATGAGGAGCACTTTAAAGACAAAGACAAATCAATATTTTTTATTTTTGTCTCACATTGAAAAATGAAGGGAGATGAGAAGGGTTGAGTTGCTTATAAAAAAACAATGGTCTACTTTTTCTTTTTCTTGTTTTAAGCCATCAAGTTTTATTTTTATGAGATTTGATTAAAAATTCATCTTATTTTAGGTAAGTGTAATTGACAATAAAAAAAAGTGGAGTATTAAAATTTGTTAATATAATTGTTTTAAAATTAAACGGGTTAAACAAGTCGTGTCGTGTTATCTGTTTATTAAACAAATCGTGTTTGTGTTGAGATTTCTTATCCGATTATTAAACATGTCGTGTATGAGTTTATATATTTTTTACCCGTCACCTATTTAATTCGACATGTTTGACACCCTTATGCTTAGTCAAGTTCATCAAGCAAGTAAGCAGAGTCATCCAAGAGCCTCATTCATGCCGCCTTGGAAGAAGTCAACCACCACGTCATCCTTCAACCGAATCTTTTGGGGAGCACCATAATTGTCTCATCCATTGAAAAGATGGCGTCAGCTCCACCAAATTAGCTTTTTAGTTATTGATAAGCCGCCTTAATCTGTTAAGAGACGACTATAAATTGTAAGCCCTGCCAATACTTGGAGGGATCACACACAATCAAGCATATCTACTATTACTCTCATTTCTCTCATTACTTGTATCTCATTGCTCTTCCTATACTCTTCAAAGTAATAAAATACTCAAGCGACCTTAGCTCTTCATAGTGGACGTAGGTCACATTGACCGAATCATTCTACATATTTCTCTTTCTTGAGCTACTCTCTCTCTTTATTTAATTACTGCATTAATTACTAATCACTTGATAAGTAGTGTATAAAACTAATTTGTGTATCATCAATTTAGTGCCGTCTGTGAAAAACGATAAAATTCTCACCTAATCATTTTTCTTGTTGTACTTATGACGATCACCACCATATCTATGAAACAGTCTGAAGTCAATCCACTACGAGAGGAGGAGGTTGCCCCTTTGCCAACCAATCCTGTTTTGAATGTATAGTAAATGCTGAAAACAATGCAGCAATTCGTAACTCAGAATTAACAGATCCTACAACTGATGCTCGTTGGACAATAAGGAGGAGCACAACTCAGAATACCTCAAGTCAGAGGAGCTCCATGCCCTGGACGTCAAGGAGCTCCCCACTTGGGCGCCTTATACAGGGGAGCCCCGCACTAGAACCATGAGGCACCTCCACCTTCTCCTCAAGCTCCCTCTTCTCGTGGTGGAAACCCTAATTTCCAAAAAGACGAGGGCGAAAATAAAAGCGTGGAACATTGAAGTCATTTACATGACAATTCTAAAGGAGCCCCCAATCACTAGGACAAGAAAATCAAAGAGGTACAGAATCAACTGGGAGACGTCTTCAATGCCATGAAGGCACAAGGACCCGATACTGTAGACTACTTCGTAAGGCGAACTAACATGCCGTTTGTGCCAGACGTGGCAAATTACCCCATTCCTCAAAAGTTTAAAATGCCATCCGTTGAAACCTTTGATGGTACAAAAGACCCACTTGATCACCTCGAAACTTACAAGACTTTAATGCAGCTACACAATGTCCCCGATAAAATCATGTGTAGGGCATTCCTTTACTATTCTGAAGGGATCAACTCGACAGTGGTTCACCAAGCTCACCCCAGCCTCCATTGGCTTTTTTGTTGAATTAAGTAGGTCCTTCGTGTTGCACTTCATTGGAGGACGTCGCCACCAGAAGCCTTCCACCCACATGTTCAGCATAAAGCAGGATCGAGACGAGAGCCTAAAGAGTTACCTCACTCGTTTTAACGTGGAGGTCCTTCAAATTGAGGAGCCCGATAACAAGGTCACCCATGACCACCTTCTTAGGAGGTCTTCATTCATCAAACTTCCCCTTTTTAGTGATAAAACGTCCACCAAAGAGTATGCCAGAACTGCTAGCGAAAGTCTAGAAGTATAAGAATGCTGAGAACATCACTAGGGCCAAGTGAGGTGAATCTTCACGAACATGGGAGAAGAGAAAGGAAAGAGACAGAGAAGATAAGAAGGAGAGTGGAAACAAACGAGGCAGGACAGAAAAGGGTGTCTGCCAAAGACCAACTTGGTCTTGTCCCTCAGAGAGTGTGACAGATCTTCACTCCCCTCAACGTCACTATCGGGCACATCCTATTCCCGATCCAGGATGACCCGTAATAAATTAGCGTGAAAAGATGAAATCTCCATCAAACCGCAAGAATTTGAGCAAGTATTGTCTTTTCCATAGGGATCACAACCACGACACCGATGATTGCTTTGAGCTCAAAAGACAGATTGAGGAGCTTGTACAACATGATCAATTGCGTCAGTATGTTGCTAGTAGAGGCCAAGCACCGCCACTGCCTCATAACCAATAGGATCAGCAACCTTTTGGGGAGATTCACACCATCTCTAGAGGATTAGCAGGAGGAGGAGAATCCCTCTCTGCCATGAAGGCCCATGCTAGAAAAGCTAGACACCTTGATGATTTGCGCCCATCCAAGGCACCCAAGCAAGGAAGTAACAAGGTTATATTCTTCTTAGACAATGACTTGGTAGGAATTCAGCACTCCATGATGACCCACTGGTGCTAACCATGACTGTTGCTAACTTTTAGGTACGAAGGATTTTTATAGACAGCGATAGCTTTTCAAACATCTTGTTCGCACAAGCTTATGACAAACTCAACCTGGGGAGAGAAAGACTGTAGACCATCAGTTTGCTTCTTATCGGATTCTCAGGGGAGAAGGTGTATCCCTTAGGATCCATCACTTTGCTAGTCACCGCCGGTGTAGCACCCTGAAGCTCTGCGGTCATAGTGAACTTCTTGGTGATAGATTGCCCTTCAACCTATAACGTTATTCTGGGGCGACTCGCTCTTAATGCCCTTAGAGCTGTGCCCTCCACCTAGCATCTTATCCTCTACTTTTCAACCCCAAATGGAATCAGAGAGGTCCAAGGGGATCAGGTTACTACAAGAGAATACTACGTCTCTTCTATGAAGACCAAGAAGTCGCAAGAAACGCTACATGTAGTGGTCCTCGACCCTAGAGATGATGCCACGATGGAGAGAGGAGAACCAGTGGAGGAGCTCACACTAGGGGTCTTGGATGAGAAACATCCAGAAAGAAAAGTGTACATTGGTTCTTTCCTTCCTGAAGATTTAGCCCCATAGCTTACAAATTTTCTAAAATACAGTATGAATGTTTTCACATGGTCACATAAAGACCTCGAGGGCATTGACCCTGAGGTCGCCATCCACCACCTCAATGTCGACCCTCATTACAAGCCTGTTCGTCAGAAGCCAAGAAACGTCTCCACTGAAAGGGCACAAACAATGGACAAGGAGGTGGGGAAGCTGATAGAAAATAGGATAATCAGAGAAGTGGCCTATCTTGTGTGGCTATCAAATGTGGTGATGGTGACCAAGACCAATGGCAAAGTGGTGCCTCTACGTCGGCTTCATTGAACTTAACAAGGTGTGCCCTAAAGACAACTACCCGTTGCCAGGAATAGATATCCTCATCGACGCCGCTGCAGGACACAAATTGCTCACCTTCCTGGACGTGTACTCTGGATATAACCAGATCAACATGCACCCCAGACTAGGAGAAGATGTCATTCATTACTTTGAAGTGGACCTACTGTTACAAGATCATGCCCTTTAGACTAAAAAATGAGGGAGCAACCTACCAGCGACTGGTGAACAAGATGTTCCAGTGTCAGATTGGGAGAACAATGTAGGCATACGTGGACAATATGTTGGTAAAGAGTCTTGCTGCACTAGACCACCTTCAAGAAATCTTCGATATTCTCAGGTCATACTGCATGAAGTTGAACCTTGAGAAATGTACATTTGGCATCAAATTAGAAAAATTCTTGGGCTTCATGGTCAACCAAAGGGGAATTGAGGCAAATCCAAACAAGATCAAAGCGATCCTGGATATGAAATCACCCACCACAACCAAGGAACTTCAATGCCTCAACGGAAAAATTGCACCACTCAATAGATTTGTCTCCAAATTTGTAG